GCGTTTGCATCAATTAACTTATTCAACATAGAACTTAAAATTCGAATGTTCGAGTATTAGCAGCAATATTTTAGTGAAAAAGTTAGGGGAGCCAAGCCTTGTGGTAAAAGAGATCAATGGAAGTCATTATGTGATGTTGGTATCATGATAGCGTAGATTGAGGAAAGGTTGGTTGTTAACTAAAAAATTGCATCGTAATTAAAAAAACTTGGGATGAATCATTATGTTACCTCAAATTTTCTGCACCCACATGACAGCTTCAATTATGCCATATTGAAAGATTAGTGGATATATTGATTGATATATAGACCAACTTTGTCAACATCTGGAAAAAAATTATAAAAAGGTTAATGTCCACATAGCATGTCTTGAGTTCGAATCTTAACGCTGATGAGCCAAACAATAACGATCAAAAAATGCTGAAATATCTATATAAGTATTCCAAGGCTAAAAAAAATGAATTATAGGGCAAAACCACCGATTTGTCTTTTTTTTTTTAAATTAAAAAAATTTAAAAGTTCACATGAGAAGGGCAGAAAAGAATAATAGAAAAAGAGATTGCACTATGGGAATATATTTCAAACAAAAGGGAAGAATCTTTGATGAATATATATAATACAGGTGGAGCTGAGCAAGTTTGTCTTTTTCTTTGTAGTGCTGTAGAAATTGGATTAGGGTTCTCTTCTGAGCTTAGAGGTTGAGCTTTTTGAGCAAATTACACGATCTGTTGGATTAAAATTTAACGATTATAATTATTATAATTTTTAGAGAGGTTTCTTATTTGCAACCGTTGAATTTTGATCCAACAATCCGTATGATTTACTTAGGAAGCTTAGCCTCCTAAACTCAGGAGAGGATCCTAATATGTAGATTTCTACCATCAACTTGGACAAGGACAAGGACGACATGTCGAAATCATATTGGTAGGAGCCTTTTAAAATGGATTCAAACCCCACCTAACTTTAATTGAAGATTAAGATTGAGATAAAGGGACAATCTTGGCCAAATCATAGAGAAACTTTTTGGTGCACCGAGAATACTGTTTAGTACACTAAGGCCTCATTTGTTAACTCAAACTGTATTGACTATTTCTGTCGAATAGGATAAATAGTCATCGGATAGTACTGACTAAATTAGTTGGACGTTTGGTACAGTATCAGACTAATGATCGTATTATTTATACTATGTTTGGTACTGACCATATAAGAAAAAGAAAGTAAAAAAAAATTGACAAATCTTTGTTTGTTTGTAGGGGTCAGAGATGCAGCAACGGAGAAGAGGGAGGGAGAAAGGGGGAGGGATCATACTAGTAAAGATTGCATTTGAGGCGGCTATTTCATTTGGAGAAGGATCTGGGGATGGTGAACTTGGAGAAGAATTTAGAGAGAGGGTGTGGCGGAGACGACCAGTCGACTTCGCAGAGGGCGTCGATCACATCCTCCGCCGTGACGTTGCCCCAATCCATTTCTGTGGCGGCGCTTCAAAACCCCAGCTAAGACTCAGCCGAACGGAGAAAAAGGTGAAGATTGAGGAAGGAGGACACTGCGAAGTCGAAACGGTGCTTCTTTTGTAAGGGTTTATTAAGAAGGTGTGTACCCGACTATCTATCCGACTACTTAAATTAATCTGACGATCATTTAATACGAGAAGACACCAAACGGTCGAGTCCGTACTATTAGTCCTATCTAATCCCTTATACTACATGTCAAATGAGGCCTAAGTGTTATAACATAATAGTTGGAAACTTGAAAAGAAAAAAAAAAATCTAACCAATGTTATTATGACATTGGTTTTATCGGGACGTTTTTTCAGCATATTGAAAAATCTCTCCAAACCATAGTGTTGTAATGATGGAGATTTGTAAAGATTTGTCACTCAGTTGGTTGTATAAGTGTTTATTATCAAGTTTAAACATACACGCACCAATATTGACATTGCTAGTTTCAACTTGTATCTTTCATCGTGACTTTGTGCGCTTTTAGCTGAAAAATGCTTTGATATCGATTGTTGTATTTCAAGCTCCTAAACTGCAAGTCCAAACATATGTCTATATTGTCTTCAACTTAATGATTGAGGTCAAAGACTATGTAGTCATGGTGTGGAGTCTCCTTTTTGTAACAGAGCATCGAACCCTCGATATGGGAATAACTTGTGTAGTAGCAAGCCTAATGGACTATGTGGTTTAATCCTGAAAGGACTGTTGTAAACATTGGCATTGTGAATTTTACTTCATCTAACCAATCATATAACATTAATATGAGTATATGATAATTTTTGTTACCACAATTTATTAATAAAAACAATAGAAAAATAGAAAAATACTTATTTTTTGTGACAAATAAAGTCAATCATTATACCTCAACGTTATATAATGCACTAATTTTTAGTTTTACAAATCAAAACTGAAATTAAGACTTTTAGGGGGCGTTTGTTTGCCCCACTAAGTGGGACTGGATTGGACTGGACTAGCTGTTAGTCCAATACCATGTTTGTTATGTGCTGTGATTAACATTAATGAAACTACAGGGGACTCGCATAGACAAAACCCTTCGCTAAGAGGTCTTAGCGAGACCCCCCAATAACCATTGGACTGCTAAGACCTCCTTCTGCTCTTCTCCTACGTTGCTTACTTTCTATCCTCACTCCAACCAAATCACATCACCAGACCACCACACTTCTTGTATACTCTTGTTGATGCACTTATCTCTTGTTGCCAAAAAAAGAAAAAAAAAAAAAAAAAAGGAGAAAGAGATTCAGGAAAAAAAAGAGAAAAGGAAAGAGAAAAGAAAGATGGGGGAGAGAATTAAACCAATAAAAGAAACGAGAAGCATCTGGAAAGGAAAAGAATTAGAAAAGAAAAGAGAAAATAAAGAGGGTGGGGGAGAGAGAATTAAAAAAATGGCGAAAAAAATATTCAAATCTCAAAAATAATTTAGTCCGACACTGCATCAAACACTTTATTATTTTTACTCTGCTTAGTCCAAGCCAAGCTAGTCCAACTTAGTCCCTAAAATTAATCCAGTTCGAGATAGTCCGGTGCAACAAACGCACCCTTAAGGGTTCGTTTAGACATGCTTTTAAAACGACTAAAAACATTTTTTGTGAAAATATTTGTGCACCCTTAAGGGTTTGTTTGGACATGCTTTTAAAACGACTGAAAACATTTTTTGTGAAAATATTTGTGGTAACAATCCTTAGCAAAAATACAAGTGAATATTAAAAAACCATATAATTTTCTCAATAGAATCTTTCAGTCATTTTAAAACAATTTAAAACGAGTCCTGAAACTATTGATAGTTGAATAATATTATAGTTACAAATGAAGAGTTGTATTTTGAAATATTCAAAAAAAATTCCAACGAGAACTTGAAGAAGTTAACAACAGATCACGTACTTTTAAACATTAAGTTATTGTTGTATTCCCTCTGACTTCTCTTCACCTTCTTTAGTTTTGCATCCAACTAACTTTACACTATTTACACACGAGGTTTTATGTTCGATTTTTTCTTCTTTTGTATCAATTGTATAAGAAAAGTGATAGAAATGTACGAAAGTATAAGGGTAATATCAACATAACTGAAACTAGGAGGGGTGATAGGGAGAAAAAAAAGAAAGGTGCATGAGCATGAAGGAAGAAAATAGGGGACAGAACGTGGGTGTTGCCATCAGAATTCTTTGGGAGATATACTCATCATCAAACACTAGCATTGATGCAGGGGACCACGTACATGATAGAAAATGTTATCAGGCCTTTTTAGACCCTTTCTTTTGATAGTTAAAAGGGAATCGTGTTCCTCTTTAGATTTTGCAGTTTGGAATCGACGAATCAAGAAATTTAAACTACTTATTTCACATTCTATGACTCTCATTAGTTCATTTTACTAGTTCATTTCACACAAACCAAGAATTTGGATCTCTCTTCCTCTCTTAAACAATCTAAATTTCTCAACCCGTCAACTTCAAATTGCAATATTCGGAAAGAATGTTAATTCATAAAAAGGAGAGAGAGTTGTTTGGTGCTTTTCCTCTCTTCTCTCTCACTCACTCACTCACTCTCTTCTTTTTATTGCCTTTCCTTTCCCTTTTCATCGAAATTAGGGTTAGTGGTTGCTCCATCTGTTTCTTCGGTTGGATTAGAACCACAAGGAGGAAAAAGAGAAACCAAGTATAGTATATATATTCATGGTCCCCATATTTTAACTTACGTTATTGCTATGAATTTGATATTCCAAAGAGAAAAAGGAAAGAAAAACTGTTACGCATTTGCACTACTTTTTATGAAATTTAAATAATTTAGTAAACCCCAATTTAAGGAGAGAACTTTTGTTGCAGTCAAGACATATTTCTACAAGTATCACTCGTCTAATAGATGCTTACAACATGTTCAAAACATACATTATCCGTCTAATATGTCCAGTAAATTCTTGCCATACAAAGTATTTGGTTTACAAGAGAGTTCAATATCCTATATAAGGTACTAATATAGTTCAATAAAGTAAACGGTACTAATAGTTTAGTTTGCCGAAGTATATTCAGGTTAAGTCATGATTAGGACAGCGTGCTCAGCCCGTTGCACTCAAGCTTGAGTTCCTTCTTGTCAAATTAAGGTAGTTTAAAATATGATCTTCTCTTAAAACATAATTCAGACACCCAAAACTTTGAACTAATGATTACACAAAAACGTCACTTAGCACTAAAGTCCAGTTGTACTCCCTTTCACTTATAAGTGAAAAATTTTAGGTTCGAATCGTTGATTATGAGTTTGATACTAAGTTATTATAATATGTTTATTGTGTGACGTCCGTTTAATTTCTCTACAATATAAATATACCATTGTATTATAAAAGAAAATCTCCAATAGCTCAAGGCCATTTAGGATTAGGCCTTTTTTGGTTAATGGGCTTAGTTGTTTGGTTTTGGTCTAATAATTGGGCCTTCATTTGTTATGTTTGGTTTTAATACAATAGGCTGCATATGGGCTCTCTTATTAAACCCATTACCCGGCAATGCCCAAACGACGAGAAAGCCTCTGAAATTGCCATAGCCAGAGTTCCCATCAGTCTTCAGTCCTCAGCCTCCACCCACCACGACCCGAATTCAGGAGCCCCAAAAGCGCCGCCGTCAACCTCCGCACGTAAGTAGTTTCTGGGTTTTCCCCGTACTTTCGTTTTCCCATAATCTATATTGGTTCACAGTTTCCAACCACCGGTTGGATGCGTGTTTCGTGTCATTCAATAGTTTCTGAAAGCAGAGCACTCTATGTGTCTGCGAAAATGCCCCAATGAAAGATATCCAAAGGGGTTTTTCTTCGTGTTTGTTTTGGACTTTCAGCGTGAATGGTCTTAGTCTTGTGTTCCAATTAGAGCGTTTGATTGTTGCCGTTTAGTTTTCTGATGTCCTTGCATTGTGTTATGCAGCAATCTGAGCACGATGATCCAGGTGGCAAGGTATTTCAGGAGAACACTCTTTTCTGCTGCTAAATCGGAAACTTGTGCCGCGGCTTCTGCGGCTAGGACGACGGAGTACAACCCTCTTGAGGAGTTCTTTGAGAAAGATAGAAGCCAAGAGGAAGAAAAGCCAGTTGTCTACGGTACATTGTTTCCATTTTCATTGTTTCTGGTTGTTAATAACATATGTACATTATTTTCCCGGTTTTCATGTTTCTGTTGAAAGAAGTTAATTTGATTAGCAAATACGAAATTGTATATTGTTTTTGGAAATTCGAGCTATTATGCTGATTCAATGTATGAAAAAATTGTTAATTAAGCACCGGCGAGAGTTTAAGCAACAAAGGGTATAAAAGGCTTGAGCTATTGGAAATGTTTATGCTTCCCTTACGAGTTTTCATGTTAGTATACTCACATTGAAAGAGATCTTTTTGGATCAGTTGTGGGGTAGCTGGGTCCTTCATTTGAGTGTATAATTTTTTGCAAGGTTTTAAGCAGAAATCCTTGCACAAATATGGAGATTAAGCATTACTTTACATGTTATTACAGTTTTCTAATATGTATTCTCTTTTCAATTGGTATGCAATGCATTCCATGATAACTACTTTAAGTGTTTTTTTCTTCTAACCTCCATCCTTTTCTACTGTTTTACTCACTACGATACACTTTTACATAAGTTCAACCTTTTTTTTATGTTCTGATGTCACGTAATTCAATGCATTTCTACAAGACTTTGGATGCAATTTGTTTAACTTCACTTAAAATTCTATTATTGATACTTTCCTCGCTGTCAGGTCGAAGTTGGAAGGCAGATGAATTGCGTCTGAAGTCTTGGGACGATCTCAATAAGCTATGGTATGTTCTGCTTAAGGAGAAAAACATGCTGATGACTCAACGCCAGATGCTTCATGCGCAGAATCTCCGGTTTCCCAATCCTGAGCGCCTTCCCAAAGTATGATCCTTTTCTTTGTGTAATTGTATTATTTCAACAAAGAGATACTTGGGAAGTTTTTCAAACATGTTTCTTTGCACGACTACTTCCTTCTTTTTCAACTCCTACTTCTGACTTTCTCACTGTATTCTCATCTATTTGTCTGGTATGTCAGTTAACCAGTGCCATTACCTGGCTACTCAGTTTTATATGAAATTCTGAAACTTTGAGAAGTTAATAAGCTACGCCTGTGCTAGAACCATGTTGCAGCAAAGTCTTTCTTGATGTTGGATTCTCTACATTTGATTATTAGTCTATTAGATTTGATTTATTTACTGCTTTCTTTATGTGGCGTGATTTGACTTACATTAAATGTGAAGAACTATGAGTTGAACTGCTGGACTAGCAAATGTTCGTTTTCAGTTATGCTTTAACTGGTTGCTAATGTTCCCGAATAGGAAATAAAAGGAAGGGAACTATAATTTGTACAATCATATAGAATTCATTTTGTTGCTGCAGTCTAGTTCCTTTTTCTTCTCTCGTTACTAATGTCATTGTGAAATTCAGGTGAGGAAGTCGATGTGCCGTATCAAGCACGTTCTCACTGAGAGAGCGATCGTAGAACCAGATCCCAGGAGGTCTGCTGAGATGAAGAGGATGATAAATGCTCTGTGATAACTTCCACCTTGTGGATCTCCAGAGTCACCGTGCATTGGATATGCCGGGTCATTGCGAATGCTGCCTTCTTTTTCTCCTTGTAGACTAGAACTAATAGTGATTCGATATCGTGAGCTTAGGAGCAACGTGTAATCTGTTGTTGAATCTATGATGGTTTGTCTTTTGCGTTTTGAGATGCAAATAATCAATACTATTTATTCGACTTGCATTCGAATTGCTTTAAAATGTGCTTGTTTCTCCAACCATCTATATTTTTCCACATGTTAACGCTTGTTAACAAATCCTTATGATATATAATGTATAGTTTGGCCATGACTTGATACCCACAAGGTGCCTAAACTAAGGAAGGAAGACAATACTTGCTTGTGCTTCATGATGCGAAGAAATAGAGTTAGAGTTTTAGAGAAACTTCAAACATGTGATCAGACCACTCTCACAAAAGAACGAGCCACTTTAACCTCTTGTGCTAGTGACGAACCATCAGACATCAACTATCAGTCACAATGATTTATAAAATATAGTCTAAAAAGATTTTCTCCTTTGGATTTGAATTTTTTTTTTTTGCAGTGTGCCAGGAACACAATCTAGTACACCAAGTGTCATAATATAAATGGTTAGATTTTTTTTTCAAGTATCCAACCACTTTGTAATCACTGTTAAACAAATCCCTGCCTAGGCGCTAGGCAGCTGGCCACCGCCATAATTAATGTCTAGGTGTTAAAGGGCGCCTAAAATTGTTGAGGCGACCGCTTAGCCCACCTTGACCTGCCTAGGCACCCACCTAGATCACAACTCACTTAGATAAAAAGTAGATAACTTTCATTTTGCATTTTTTTTTCAATAAAGTGTAAGAGATTTGTTGCATATGTAAATGAACACACAATATATCATTGTTCCCTATATTTTTATTATGTTTCAATACTTCATAATATATACGTCATTCTATTTTATAGTTTATGATGAAATTATATATATTTTAAGTATAAGTAGACACTTATTTACATGAAATATAATAGATGTACTTAAATCTCCCCTTTTGCCTATATGCCCGCCTAACTGCCCATCTAGACGCTAAGCCCCAGCCTGTCGCTCAATAGCACCTAACGTTTTTCAAAATCTTACTTGTAATATAACAACATGATCATGTTCCAACGTCCTGAAAAATAAAATAAAAAATAATGCAAAATAAAAACATATTTGTTTATTTATGAAACCCAAAAAGGCAGATAGGTACAAAGAACACATCGTTTATATAGAATCCGATCCTTGTTGTGAAAATTGAGAGATTCATGAATCGTATCTGTTTGTCGTATATCGTACGGTCATAAATCATTTTAAATATTTTTATTTAAAATTAAACACAAATAACACTTGACAAAAACTAACTGCACGAAATACGATAAATAAACACGATTTACAAATTTCTAAGATTCTCATCAAAAGAATTCGAAAGGATCACGTTGGATTTATATGGACAGAGAGAGCAGGGGGTGTGCTGCTTACGTAAGCAACAAGCTCAGAATTCCCCAAAAAAAATAAAATAAGTAAATAAGTAAAAATAAAAAACAATTAAAACTTTTCATGGCAGAGACAGAAACATTCACATCAGCCACCACTTCCCGCCTTGCTTTTAGTAATGAGTGCTGGAAAAACCCAAGACAACCTTAACTTCTCCATCATACTCTACTCTCCCTCGCGTTTGAAGTGCTTTTACTACCCCCCAACCCAAATTACCATTTTCTCCTCCCTTGACACCTTAACGGCTTGACCTCACCCATCCAACCCCAAATAGTATCCTCTCACACAAAGTAGATTCTTTCCGAACCTTAGTGTCCGGAGTCTAAAGACCAGAAAATTCAAGTTCTTAGTTTTTGTGAAAGAAGAGCTCTTGGTCCGTGTGAGGTGGGTCATCAAAATGTGTTAGTGGAGACCGTTGAATTTAATTTGAGTGATCTGCATTATTCGTTCTTTGTGTTCCAGACAGAGAGATTCGAAATGAATCTCTATCCCTCTCACACGCAATTTCCGTCAAGATACCGAGAGACCTCAATAAAATGAGTTCATCGACATTTGCCATTTCGCTTCATTAGTGTATTATAATTTTTTTTACTCAATAATGTATTATTGAGCAAAAAATCATGATGACAATAAATTCGTTCTATTTTTGCTGCTCTTCAAAATAAAAATACTGCCCCTTTTTTTTTTTTTTTTTTTTTTTTAAGATACTACGAAGAAAGCCATCAATTGAAACTAACTTTGTAAACCATGTAACATGATTGTTTATAACTAAATTATTTTTTAATTAACATATTTAAATTAATGAACTTGTCTAAAAAAATTGGTGTATGTAGCATTATTTTTTATAGAAGCAAAATCCGAAAAAGTTCATCACTTTTGTAGTCACAGAGTAATCAATGACCAGCAGATGCCCCTAGAAATCCCAAAAAAATCAAAAGTCAAATGGGGACAAAACGGTCAAACACAAAATCCTAGCCACAGTTCTCAGTCCTGCAAGTGAATCCAGTCCAGTCACATATAATAATTTCTTTATCTTAAAATATTAGGGGGCACGTTGTTTTTTTCAAACCACCCGCGGATGACGCTACACTTCACCCTGCCCGGTCTGCCCGATCTGCCCGCCTGCCCGCCTGCCCGAGACCCTGCAGCTTTGCCCTCGCTACCAAGTACCCAAGTACACCTCTGCCTTTTGCTCCCTGGTTCCTTCTCTTCGACGTTCTCTCTCTAACTTCTCTCTCTACTGTAGATCGAAAGGCGGCTCGAAATTGGGACTTATCGTTGGATCTGAGCTTCAATTAGATCGGGACTTCTTGTGTGTAATCTATAATCGTCTCAATTGGATTCGGAATTCGGAGTTTCGCTGCGTTTGGGGGCAAAATTAGGGTTTCATTTCAGAGGAAGCGGTCGATCCGGGGATTCGCGGACGGCGGACGGGCGGAGAGGCGTGGAAGAGGATGGATTTTGGTGGGAATTGAGGGGCGAGATTGATGGTAGTTGTTGGAATTGAAGGCGGGATCGCGGCTGGGAGTGGGGAAAATGCAAGGCTATGCATGGGAGGGGAGGTGAGGAGAGGAAACGGAGTTGGCACATGTTGACAGTACCCACGCGTGTATCCGTGGCCGATGGTTCTTCTTCATCATCCTCGTCTTCGCCCAATTCGTTTTTCAAGGTTTGGCTTCTCTGCTGGTTTCTATGATCTGTTGATTTTTGGGTCGGGTCCGCGTTTTATTTGCTTTTCGGGTTTTCGGATAATGGGTGTGTGATTTTTGTGTGGTATGGTGGGTGTTATCAGTGGAAAAGTGAAGTGGGGTTCAGTGGAAAAGTGAAGTGGGGTTCTGTGAATTGCTTCGTATTTTGCTTGTTTGATATAGAAAACAATGTTATGGATTGCATTTTGTGTAAAGATGGATGTGTTGTTGACTTGGGGATAGATAAATGAGAGAGTTGCAACATGTTAGATATGAAAATTAGCAAATGAAACCGGTTTTTGAGATTGGGGTGAGGACCGTAAAAGGGAAGGTGAACAGTTGGATTCGTTGTCGCATTTTTGGTGTGATTTGTAGTTGTGAGGGATCTCTATCATAGGAGAGGGGGTTTGTAATGTCGTGAGTGGGAATTATTTTGTGGGGTGCTGTATTGTGTCAATCGGTTTTGGGAAGAATATCAATTTGGTATCAAAATTGGAAGAGTGATACTTTTTAAGGGTTCAGTTAAGATCCCTTCTTTATAATGAGGGGTGATTTTTCGTTGTTGGGTCATTCCCGGTCATTGGTTCTTGGACAATGACCATGAGGTGCAGAATATTGATGAGTATGACATTGTTTGGGATAATTCTCTCTTCTGTATGTAAATTGGATAACTTTCTGTTTTGTATGTAGCATTTTAATTATTTGTTTGGGATATCATTCATTTAGATAAATAAGTTACGATGAGTGATAGATGCAATGAATCTGCTCGAGAGTTTTTCCTTTATTGTTAAATGATTACGTAGTCTTAAATTTTTCAATGATAGTTCTTTATTTTTCTTGCTGTTGTTATTTTAATGACTCTTCTCTAGAAGGTACAGCAAAGCATTCTTTGCTTGGGGGTATTTCCATTTTCGTTCTATAATTTTGCATTTGAAATGGACTTTCAACGAAAGTCTGTCATACCTGTAGATTAGTTGTGAGAAAGCTTCCTCTTTAAGGGGACCTGAGAATGGAAGTGCTGCTTGGGCATGGTGTTATTCTTGGGAATCGTCATCATAATGCTCCTCTGAAGTTCTGAACTTCATTTTGTCATGCACATTATTTATGGTGTATGCTGATTTTTCAAGATGTTTTGCAATTTTTTGTTTTCTCCAAATGCCCATGCTAACCAGCATAATGCTCCTCTGAACAACTTCGTTTTTGTAGGACGGACGTAAGATCAGTGTTGGCGATTGTGCTCTTTTCAAACCACCCCAGGATTCTCCACCCTTCATTGGAATAATTCGTTGTGTGACTACAGGCAGAGAGAACAAGTTAAAATTAGGTGTTAATTGGCTTTATCGACCTGCTGAAATAAAGCTTGGCAAAGGCATCCTGTTGGATGCTGCGCTGAATGAAATTTTTTATTCCTTTCATAAGGATGAGATTCCTGCCGCATCGTTACTTCATCCGTGTAAAGTCGCGTTCCTTCCTAAAGGTGTTGATCTTCCGTCAGGGACTTCATCTTTTGTGTGCCGGCGTGTTTACGACATCACAAATAATTGTCTATGGTGGCTAACTGATCAGGACTATATTAATGTGAGTTTTGGATAATTTTCCATTTTCTGTATTGTGCTCATATGTCTAAACATTCAGGGTAGTTGATATCATTTCTTTTGACAGGAGCGACAAGAGGAGGTAGATCAATTGTTGTACAAAACTCGAGTAGAAATGCATGCAACTGTGCAGTCTGGTGGCCGATCCCCGAAACCAATGAATGGTCCAACGGCAGCACAGGTAAAAGTTGAGTCAGATGGTGTCCAGAATAGTGCCTCATCTTTTTCCTCTCTAGTGAAGGGGAAAAAAAGGGAGCGGGGCGATCAAGGTTCTGAACCTGTCAAACGAGAACGTGCTATGAAAATGGATGATGGGGATTCTGGCAGCTTTAGACAGGAAAGCACTATAAAATCTGAACCTGTCAAACGAGAACGCACTATGAAAATGGATGATGGGGATTCTGGCAGCTTTAGACAGGAAAGCACTTTCAAATCTGAACCTGTCAAACGAGAACGCACTATGAAAATGGATGATGGGGATTCTGGCAATTTTAGACAGGAAAGCACTTTAAAATCTGAAATTGCCAAAATAACAGAAAAAGGAGGGCTTTTAGATTCTGAAGGGGTTAAGAAATTGCTGCAGCTCATGTTGCCGGATGAAAATGAGAAAAAAGTAGACTTGGCTGGCCGGTTAATGCTTGCTAGTGTCATAGCAGCCACAGATAAATTTGATTGCCTTAGTCAATTTGTGGTCAAGGGTGTGCCAGTATTCGATGAATGGATCCAAGAGGTTGGACATAAAGGGAAGGCAGGTGATGGGAATGGACCCAAAGATAGTGACAAATCTATAGAGGAGTTTCTCTTGGTTTTACTTCGGGCACTGGATAAGCTGCCTGTTAATCTTAATGCTCTGCAAATGTGTAACATTGGAAAGTCTGTAAATCACTTACGGATGCATAAGAACTTGGAAATACAAAAGAAAGCAAGAAGCTTAGTTGATACATGGAAGAAACGAGTTGAAGCTGAAATGGATGCAAAGTCCAATTTAAATGCGGCTGTCTCCTGGTCTGCAAGACCACGCCTCCCAGAAGTTTCTCATGGTGGAAACAGACATTCTGGTGGATCTGCTGATGTTGCCGTGAAGAGCTCAGTCACACAGCTTTCTGCTTCCAAATCTGCTTCAGTTAAGCCTGTCCTTGGAGATAGTACCAAATCTGCTTCAGTATCCCCGGGAGCTTTGAAATCAGTTCCCTCACCAGTGTCAGCAAGTTCTAACTTAAAAGATGGACTGCCTCGAATTGTTGCTGTTGGCGTCACAGTTGATCTTCCCTCGACAACTCCAAGGGATGAGAAAAGTAGCAGTTCTAGTCAATCTCACAACAACAGTCAGTCGTGTTCGAATGATCATGCAAGAACTGGAGGTATGTTTGGGAAAGAGGATGCGAGGAGCTCTACTGCTGGTTCAATGAATGTGAAAGTATCGGGTGGCTCTTCCCGACCTAGGAAATCAGCAAATGGCTTCCCAGGACCCGCTGTCTCTGGAGTTCAAAGAGAAACCGTGTCAAGCAGAAGGTCGTCTTTGCACAAGAATCCAGCTCCAGAAAAATCATCACAGCCTGGATTGATAAGTGAAAAGGTACTGGATGGACCTTCTGCTGAGGGAAATGGACCTTCTGCTGAGGGAAATGGACCCAAGTTGATTGTTAAGATTCCAAATCGTGGTCGCAGTCCTGCACAAAGTGGCAGTGGAGGTTCGTCTGAAGATCCTTTAAATACTATTTGCAGAGCTGCTTCTCCCATGCAAAAGGTTGATGCTTATCGAGCCACCGTTGCCGCAGATGTGAACAACGAGTCATGGCAAAGTAATGATTTCAAAGATGTATTGACTGGATCGGATGAGGGCAATGGGTCCCCAGCTGCTGTTACTGATGAAGAGCATTGTAGGCCTGGTGACAATCATAAGAAGATTGCAGAAGTCCCAAAAGCTGCTTCCTCGTCATCTGGGAACGAAAAGTCAGGGAACTTGCAGGATGCTTCCTTCAGCTCTATACATGCATTAATTGAAAGCTGTGCGAAGTATTCTGAAGGTAATGCCTCTTTGTCAGCTGGAGATGAGCTTGGTATGAATCTGCTTGCTAGTGTTGCTGGAGAGATGTCTAAATCTGAATCTCCAACTGATTCACCTCAAAGGTCTACCCCAGTATCTGAGCATCTCTGCAAAGCCACTGATTCTAGAGTCAAATCACCTCCTGTTGATGAGCTTGCTCGAGATGAAAGTCTGTCTATTGATGGCCCTGATGATGAATATGAGAAGCATGGTGTTGCATCCACTACTTACGGGGCGAAGAATGGGGTTGTCAAATCTTCTTCCTCCCTGCCTCCTGAACAGTCTTCTGTAGCAGAGGACACTGGAAATCTATGCTCCTCCAGTAGAAGTTTTCATCAGCCTGCAGAACCCACCCCAGAAAGCCAAGAAAAATCTATGAAAGTTAAGTTAGCTCCTTTTACTGCTTCCCCTCCTAGTACAGTTGAGAAAATTATGGGCGGTGAAGGATTACCCCTTCAAGACAAAAATGTGGTTGGTGGAGCGAGTGCTGATGGCAGTTCAGAAAATAAGGTCAGTGATGTTAGTTCGAGGGTAGTAGTGGGGAAAGAAGCCATTGAAGAATCTTCTTTGCACCCAGAGTTTGATGTTGATGGTAAGATAGAAACTTCAAGTCATGAAGGGAGTGTTCATACGGAGGAGAAACCATCTAGTGTAAAGAGGCATTCTGAGTTAGGGAAAGGAACCTGCAAAGAAGTGCTACTTTCTTCTGGTTTTCATAAGGGTTTGATCTCAGAAAATGTCAGTGAACTGAAGGCTGAAAAAGATGATGAAAAGGATGGCCGGAGTTATTGTAAACAGGCTGAAAATCACCGAATGGATTCAGAAAGTAATGGTCCTGCCACTTTGAAAACAGAAAATAATGATCTTACAACTCCTGAGGGTCGAGCTCTAGGTGGCTCTAATTCTGCTGCTACTGATAACACCGGTGAACATGTAGAGGAGAATATGAAAAGTAAAGAAGCTAATGATCAAGTTGTTGAACCTGGTATTACCAATGTTTCACCTGATATTCCCATGCAAGAAGTAGAGGAGTATTTGAGGCCTAAGAGATCTAAGTTAACCAACATGGAAGCAGAAGAAGCTGAGGAATGTACATCTACAACTGCAGATGCTTCTTCTGTGTCTGCTGCAGGGGCAGCAGATGTGGATGCAAAAGTGGAGTTTGATTTGAATGAAGGCTTTAATGCCGATGATGGGAAATATGGAGAGCCAAATAACTTGACAGCACCTGGATGTTCAACAGCTCATCGGTTGATTAGCCCGGTTCCTTTTGCTGTTTCTTCTGTGTCTAGTGGCCTTCCTGCTTCAGTTACAGTTCCTGCTGCAGCAAAGGGGCCTTGTGTTCCACCAGAGGACCTGTTGAAGAGTAAAGGGGGGGAGGTTGGTTGGAGGGGATCAGCAGCTACAAGCGCATTCCGGCCAGCTGAACCCAGAAAAGTTCAAGAAATTCCATTGGGTACAAGTATTTCAGTTCCCGACCCTACACCGAGCAAGAAAGGACGCCCAGCTTTAGACATTGACTTGAATGTACCTGATGAAAGAATTCTTGAGGATATGGCTTCTCAAAGTTCTGCTCAAGAGACATGTTCTCTTGCTGACACAATAAACAATAAAACTTTTGCAGGTGATCAATCGATGAGTATTGCACCCGTTCGCAGCTCTGGAGGTCTTGACCTTGACTTGAATCAAGTTGATGAGGCTTCTGAAAAGTGTAATTATCCATTGAGCAATAGTCGCCGATTGGATAACCAATTCCTATCAATAAAATCAAGTGGACCTGTCAATGGAGAAGTTAGTCTTCGTAGGGATTTTGATTTGAATAACGGACCTGTTGTTGATGAGTTGTGTGCTGAACCGGCAGTGTTTAGTCAGCATAGCAGGAGTAGTGTGCCATCTCAACCACCTGTTTCTGGTTTTAGGATGAACAATACAGACGTAGGGAATTTCTCATCATGGTTTCCTTCAGGCAGTACGTATTCTGCAGTCCCAATTCCTTCAATTATGTCAGATCGTGGAGAGCAACCATTCCCAATTGTTGCAACTGGTGGACCACAGAGGATGTTGGGTCCCCCAAGTGGTAGCAACCTTTTCAATCCTGATATGTACAGGGCGCCAGTGTTTTCATCTTCCCCAGCAATGACCTATCCTTCTACTTCTTTTCCGTATCCAGTTTTTCCTTTTGGAAACAATTTTCCTCTGCCCTCGGCTGCTTTTCAGGGCAGTTCAGCAACATATCTTGATTCATCATCTACCGGGAGGCTCTTTCCTGCTGTTCGTTCCCAGTTGTTAGGACCCGCTGGTGTGGTTTCGTCCAGTTACCCAAGGCCTTATGTTGTTAATCTTCCTGATGGTAGCAATAACAGTAGCGGGGAAAGCAGTAAGAAATGGGGAAGACAAGGCCTTGATCTCAATGCAGGGCCTGGAGGCCCAGACTTAGACGGGAGAGATGTGACATCACCTCTTGTCCTGCGGCAACTATCTGTTGTCAGTTCACAAGCCCTGGCTGAGGACCAAGCAAGGATGTTCCAGATGCAAGGTGGCACCTTTAAAAGGAAGGAGCCCGAGGGGGGTTGGGACGGCTATAGACAGTCTTCGTGGAAATAGGCGTCTCTAATGGAAGAGTTTGGCGACTCATGAAAGCTTGTAAGTCTTCTATTATGTAGTTCTCTCTCCCGTATGCAAGCTCTGGTAACCTGGTTTGAGGGATCAAGAAATGTTTTAGGATTTCATAGCCGGGAGTTTCTCTGCAATCATCTTTCTCATTTTGTCGTACAGCTCCAGAACTTATGAATGTACAACATGCTTTTTAACTGTCCTTTGTAACATAGGTTGATTTAGTCTCATAACATTAATAAAGAAAGTGATGTCTGCGTGTTTTCGTTGGGGAAAATTGTGAAAAATAACGTTAATGCATTGTAATACAGTGTTTTCTCATGTGTATTCAAGGGAAATAGAAACAGGAAGACTCCAGAAAACAGATCCGGTGAAAGAGAAATTGAACCATGTAAAAGAACTAGGTTTTTCGCATCTTGTCTTCTGGAAAGAATTGAAAATTTGTGTTGTGTTTAACTATTTCATTAATGATTTTGTTGTCAAACCTAAGATATTTATATTTCACTCTCTTCATTTTCCAGTGCTTTGAGGAACGGCATTTGGTAAACGAACTCGCACGAGGTCATTGTCTAAGCTTGTGTGCTTCTGGAGGATGGGCGGTAAGTGAGTTATTTGATGTTGTTCATGGTCTCCGACCCCCTCCCCGTTGATGTGTCAGTTGTAATCTTGAAAGATAAATGAGTTCTTCAAGCTGTTTGTTCCTTGAATTTGTCATGGGCGGAAACGGTCTTGTTTCCGCTTTGTAGATATTCTAACAGTTAGAAAACATACCGTGGTTCCCATACACAATCTTTGGTGCCCCTGTTGGTCTTCAATGCATTAGATATAAACTGAAAATGATCTTCGTCGTTGCCAAACGTCTACATTGTCGATGTTCAACTGCTCAAAACAGAAGCTTCTGTGTGTGGCACTGTTGGTTGTTAAATTTATCTTTTCGTGCTCTCGTTACTGTGGTTTGATGTTGTATCGTAATTTTCTTTAAATTTCGCTTGTCAACCGAACTTGTAGCTTTTCTTTCTGGTACAAGTCTTTCCAGGAACTTCATCGTATGATGCCTGCGATTATGCCAGATTATGCACGGTACCAATCGCTCCGCTGAATGTCTCGTAATGCATGATTGAATGTCTCATAATACGTCATTTTTGCACACAGTAACTTTACAAATAAAGTAGCATATGCAAACGTAAACCCGAGCTTATAGAAACTATCGGTGTTACAAGGGCATCTGTTCTTTTGGTATCTATAGCGTAATACGAAATTAGTAGAACGAAAGAAGCCGGTATGTTCAGATATATTCCGCGCACAACCAAATGCACAGGATCCTCAACAGCCTGACGGTGAAGGAAGCTTTAACTGGCACTAGTGCGACACGAATCGCGATCAAAACGGAAGCGGAAGTTTTCACTTGAGACACACCAGCCTCCGGCCGCAAAGCATGTTGCTGCAATTCGAGAAGGGCCGGATTATTCCCAAGAACAGAAACTAGGAACCAAGATAACACTCGGAACTCGAAAGGAAAATCATAGAGCTTATATACGTATACGACACTATCGAAATGAGGATGTATAAATTAGCGCAGAATATGACATGAACGATAGGAAGACACTCACACTGGGCATCCTCGACGTTGCTTTTTCTTCTTTTCCTTCTGCTTCTGTGGCGGCTTGATAACCACCCTGATCGCAGCGTCGAAGACTGCTTTCACATTCTGCAATTGAAACGTGAATCGGCGCGTTAGTGTTACGCAATACGCAATGAGAACAATTTTAAGGAAATCTACCATGGACAGTGAAAGCATCCAAAGGTTCGAAATCTTTGACAATTTTTGTGAAAACTGGCACTATGCTCATAAGACATTTTCAGACCAATCTCAAGGTTGACGAACCGAATTGGTTGAGGAAAATGATCTGGAAGTTGGTTTAAAAGCCAAACTAGTGAATCGTACATCGGCAACTATTAAGTTAGGGATCTTCTAAATGCTCGCAGATTAATCACTTATCCGTTTTCTACGGATCTTCCAAACGCCAGCACATTTGCTCGTGTTAGTTTGACGATAAATTAGTTGGTTTTATCTTATGCAAGTCCGTAAACGAAGCAGTAAGCAGCTATTTGTAAACTGAACAATTTACTGGCCTTATGAGAATGTAAGTACTATATTATACATACCTGCTGGGTTTTTGAGCTGCATTCTATATAAAAAGCAGCACCAATCTGTTTTCGCAGCTCCTCACCCTGGTTATTTAGAAGAATGATCAGTGATATTACCCGTTGTTGCACGATGAACAAAGCAATCTTTACTAAAAACTACACCTGTGCAGTGGTCACAGGTACCAATCCTGGGTGATCAGCCAAATACTGCTTATCCTGCCGAAGATCTGCATATCCATTGCAAACCATCTTTAGATCCAGAAGATGATATTGCTGACTCCAGATTCCATACCATTAAAAATGACTAATCATACAACCTGCATGCGCGGTTAATTTAAAGGAAAACTAATGAAAAATGCTTGAAAACCTTGAGTTTTAACGAAAAGGACAAAATAAAGGGTAAAGTGAATAGTATCAGGATTGACTTTTTAGTGTAAATGTGGTTTTTCGTTAAAGTAAACAGTACTGGAAGCTTTTCGTTAAAGTTCCCTTAATTTAATGCTTCCCGGCATTATCATTGGTACAAAATCAAATCCTAACCAGAAAACAATAACTCCGGACTGAGTTTGGAAAAGTAGTACAAGCATTGAGCTTACCTAATTTGGTGCCGGCAAGTACTACTGGCACTCCGGGAGCATAATGCTGGAGTTCAGGGATCCACTGACCAAGAAACCGAGTGTCAGAAATCATAAATACGACACAACAGTGATAGATTAACAATAAGAAAAATAGAAGGAGAAACCAAATTTCTCAGGTGAATGCACCTTTTTCAATACATTCTCATAGCTCGCACGGCTAACTAATGAGAAAGCTAAGACAAAGACATCTGCCCCTCTGTAGCTCAATGGCCTCAACCGATTGTAATCCTCTTGCCCTGTGAAAAAAATGAAACAGATACGTAAAACAACTTGCTAAATTTGGCAAAACTATGTTTAGATAAAACCCAAAATTTACGGGTTCGGAAACATTTTGCCTCAATTTATGACATTACAAACAAACAAAAACTAGAACAATGAACACATTTATATAAGATGAAATTGGAATTTGGGTAGGAGAGAGTTAAAGATATCATACCAGCAGTGTCCCATAAGCCTAAGTTCACAGTAGTGCCTTCAACCACCACATTTGCACTGAAGTTATCGAACACAGTTGGTATATAGTCCTGATGGACACAAAAACAATTGGAAACCAAAAGCAAATTACTTGGGAAAGAAAAAGGGGAAAAAGCAAAGCAATTTGTTTAGAGAGAGAAACAGAGAAGAAAGAGAGAGAGTGAGAGAGAGAAAAGAGAGGGGTTTCTGTACTAAAATCTTGAAAACCAGACAAAAAGCTGCAAAACCCAGATGCATAAACACATAAAGTACTCCAAAAATCCAAAAAGTCACACAAACTAGTTAAATTTGATAGACCCAGATGGATATTTTTGGCAGAAAAGAACATACAGTGGGAAACTTGTTGCTGGTGTAGCAAATCAGCATACAGGTCTTCCCCACAGCCCCATCTCCCACAGTCACACACTTAATGAACCTTGAAGCGCTTGAAGCCATTGGAAGCCAAGAAAATACTCAGAGAGCTAGAATCCACACTTAGAAAACGAAAAGAAAAGATGGGTTGCGGTTGGGTTGTTGGGATATGCACAAAGTTTATGGCTTTTTGATTCGGCGGGAGAGAGAGTGGCTCATCTCACATGATTCCCCTCACTCATTCACTGTTTCCTTCCTTATAGCTGTTTGTTTAGCTTTTTGCTGTTGGGGTTACTTTATTTTTTTCTTTTTTGGTTATAAATACCACAATAGGAAAAATTAGCTTTCATTTTGGAGTCTAACACAATTTCTTTTAAATCATTTTCTCTATTTTTTATAATTTGCTTTGGAAGGTTTCTTGTTTGTGAAGGAATTGGGAAATCCTTATATTCTATGTGAATATTTCAGCCTCAAATTGTTGACTATATATGTACACTTTATAATAAAATTTTTAACTAGAGCACAAGATGACACCAAAATAGAGAGGGATATCATACTTTTGTAAGCATGGCTTGACCAACGTAATGAGGTTGTCGTATCCAAATCTCTCTCTCCATGAGAGTTTCCTTCCATGACAAACAAATGGAAAATAATAAGTAATAATGCCAACGAGGGTTGATTGAGTTGGTAAGGATCGTTCTCTTAGACCAAGGTCTAGGTTTGAGTCCCGTTGTTATCAATCCTTCTTAGTGGGCAATCTATAAAAACCAAAAAAAGAAGCTAAGACCTCTTCTATAAGTACATAGGGTAGCCTTCTCTCCCCTTTTAAAACTTATAGAAGGGGACATTAAGGCAAATTAAATATGTCATTAAGAACTTAATTATGGTGGTATAAGATGTAGCTCAAAAGCTTCTTTCAGCTGTTGTCATATATATGACTCATATATCTCAAAATAAAATAGCATCACGGGGGGAGCTAAATCAACATAATGCATGGCATTTAAGAAGTTTATCTGCAAACCTAGCATCATAAGCAACACCTATTGGTGAAGATTGGGATCAAAGGATGTTTACATCATCTAAAAACGATGGACCGCAATATAAATACACTTAAGTTACACCTACTGCATTACTAAACTACTAGAATTTATAGATATTTGCAGAGTATAAGGACCACAAATATTATTCTTATGGGGTATCCCTAATATATATGGGTCTATTGACTCAATTTATATGTTTATGGAAGTGATTCTCTCACACTAGAGAAATGCTAAGGAGACTCTTTTAACAGTCGGATTTTTTATTGACTTTCTACCACCTTATGTCTTTGGCATAATGTTTTATAATGTTGGCACGGAAGTTTATGTTAAACTGTGAGGTAGCAGAGAGTCTATGGAGAGTCCCACTATGAGAGAGTCTATTTAGCATTTCTCTCCGCACTATTCTTTTTTTTGCTATTTTCTCTTAGATTGTAGATTGAATGAAACAAGAATAATTAACGAACAATGAACATTAACAAAACAAAGAGTACTGAGGAAGAAAACACGAATGTGAAAATCATTTTACTCTATTCATCTCCTAGTTTCTCTCGAAAACCTGACATTGCTCATTGGCTTAGTACAACATCAAGATTAATTGATTCTTTTATCTATATAAGGAAGAAAATTCGAACAAAATACTCCTAACCACTGAAGCTACAAACTTGTTGGATCATAATCCATTTGTTGATATTAGGGGGATTAAATTTAAGATCATGTGGGAGAATTGAATAAGATTCTACCGCGTGCGTTGCATTTTCTTCTTTGGGCCAAACAAAACAAGTATACCACCACCGTAAACATACACATTCAAGAAAGATTGAATTCATGTACTCTGAGGCATGGAAGTGTAATAAAAACACACAGCACAGTGTTGCAGTTGCACCAGCATCAACTGAGCCAAAATTTGAGAACTTATTGTGGAGAAGAATTTACATATAATGGGTTCACTGTTATTGTGACGTCTTGTTTCAATAAAATAATGACGTGTAAGCTTTTCACTACATGTCTTTGTTTTAGTAGATGGAGATGCCACGTAACAATGAACTTGTTCCATGTAAGTTGGTTGCACCAGCCACCAAGAATCAACTAAGCCAAAATTCGAGACCTTATCGTGGAGAATAACTCACATGGAACAGGTTCACCATCACTGTAATGCCATGTTCCAATAAAATAATGATATGTATAAGTTTTTTACCACATGTCTTTGTTTTAGTAGATAAAAATATCACATGATGATGAACTTGTTCTATATAAATTGTTTTCCCATGAACTTATTCCATATAAAATTGCTTTCCTTATTGTGTGTCTGTTATGCTTGAAAGTGTAAACTTGGGACAAAGAAAAGAAAAGAGATGTCGTAGGTAGGTTTGAATTATTGCAGATTAAAAGGGGTTGTTTGGTCGGAAGGTGAAGTAAAGTTTTAGCAACATAATAAAAAGGGGTCGCCCACAAAGTGGGTTAGATAGATATAATTAGTAGAGGGAATGACGATTAAGAACTGTTTTAGTTTTGTTGCCTTTCAACAATGCGATATTTTAATTTACAGGAAGAGAGACTCAAACTTGAGCATCAAATAACTGACACACAACCCTAACCTAACTCAAATATGCACTTTTAAGTTCTACTTTGTTGTTAAGAGCCATGTGATTTGACATTATGTTGTTCAACAACTACCGTTCATTATTATGATGAGCAAAGCATTACAGGTTCTGATGTCTCCAAATAATGCTACCCAAGTGTGCTTTGTTAGTTTTGTTAAGTAATTTTCACACTTTTTACGTGGATTTTCAGAGTGAGTGCAGTACCAAATAAAACTAAAAATGCATAAAAAGTACCAGGTGATTCAGACTAACTCTCTAGTTTTATTGTTGCGCTTATTTAATCAGTACTGATCCATATTCTACTTTGAATTTGAATAAAATTTTCAAGTTGATCTTTATTTTTCCATCAGCTTGAATTGAATTTACCGGGTTATCCAATCAAATCCTAGAAACCAAATATGGCCAAAGAGTATAAAACTACTAGCAAGAGTCTCCCAACCTAAATGCTTAAGAGAGTTTACCACGGCAATTGAGGTCGTTTGGTTAATTTTTTTTCCTCTGTACTTTGCTCATTGCGTGACTACAAGGTATTCTTTCTTCAAGAGCCCACTGCAGACTAGCAATACCCAATATACAATCCTTTGAGCCCTGTAATTTCATGGGCTGCACAATCAATGGACTTGTACATTGTACAATATAGTTTCCAAAGGTGATTGATTCTGCATCCAAGACAGGCCCAAAAAGAGAACTTGGTGATATGGGGGGAAATTTTGTTTCCTCACATTTTTTTATTATTAAGGGAAGGCGGATGGTTGAAAAAATTACATTAATTTAAAAGAGGAGGGATTTCGAATCCAGGATGCATGAATATAAACCTAACTATTAGAAGCAAATTTGTGCACATCTGTAGATAGAGGCAATAATAAGTCGGAGTTACCTATAAACTCTAGCGAATGGTGAACATGGTTGATTGGGAGGAGGTGTGATGAATATGGAGTACTACATATCTCCAGGTTGGAGAATCAAATCATTGATGTAGTTCTATAAAATGAATGGTGTAATGTGTTCTACATGGTGAACCATCCTTAACGAAGGTGTCTTGACTTAGGTGTGTTGGAGAGATAAATCTCAATGTCTACACATGGCGTAGACGAATAGTGTCTATAAGAGGGATGAGTATTGGATGATTGCGAGAAGTCTATGTTATGGGATTCTAAGAGATGATCAAAGATAGGTCGTTCGATAGATACTCAAGCTAGAGTATTTATAGATTTTGAGACCTTGTAGAGAGAGTAATTCTTATTAAATCAGGAAACTATCTAGGAGAAAATTTAGGATAAGATATTCAATTCTCCTAGGATTATGATTATGTTGCCTAATCTCAAGATATCCTAATTTGACATGAATTAGGGTTTCCTTACCTGAGAAACAAGTTGTACAGGTAGCATACTTAAACCTCACTTGTCAGACTAAGGCTGTCTGACTACGTATTCTGACTCATTAGCCAATCAGAAGAGCTTACTCCGATTATGACTATGAAGCCTGACTAGTCTGATAGTTTGAGAGTAATAGTCTTTGGGCATTCCAATCTTTTTTGCCACCTGAGATGCCATGTGTCAGGGGTCCAAAATTCATGCTCCCACTCCAATATTCTATCCACTAGGATATTAGAATGCATACTTACAACTCATTCACATCTTAATACTAAGAATAATGTAGTACTATATGAAGTTTACCTCGCCATTACAAGTGGTGGTGTTTTGCTCATCTGATTGAACTTAAACATTTGATCACTTGATTTCACAAATTCCTCAATAAAAAGAAATGGCCGTTCCCGAAAACGATCTTTAACTCGAGATTGACTTTAAACTCATATACTTCAAACTTAGAGCTCGAAATTCTAGGGTTTATGCTAGAATTTGAACTATAAACGTGCAAGGGCGGAGCAAAGATTTTTTTCATAGGTGAGCTGGCTAAAATAATTACCATAAAGTAACATAATTTTTTCCGTAACTACATAAAATTATATAATAATACATAAATATAAAACTCTAAAATCTAAAATGATAATCCAAACTAACATAACAGGTAATACAATTTCATTTTTTCTTAAAAAGTCTTGCATTCATATTAAGTTATAGTTTTTATTAGAATTGGGTACGCTATATAGAAGTATAATAGGTTAACGTAGGTCAATACATAAACTATTAGCGAGAGTTCAAACGGAAGTTCCCTAGGCTACAACCCACCTTAATCGCGAGTGTAGTTCCGCCAGTGTAAACGTAGACTCAGGTTGTACCCAAATTACAAAATAACCCTAAGCATTGGACATTCGACATAAATATGAGCCTCATATCAGTACCTCGAGCCTTGAATTACGAACTCTAAACATCTAACTTAACACTTAAGCGAAAGCTGAACTTCATGTGTCAAAAACTAAACCAAACTTTACCCAAACATAATTCTGAAACCTGCCAAGGTCCCAAGAAAAAAACAACTCGTGAATTTGTAGCTTAGAAATTTCTTAGCGTAATTAGATCAATGTTAGCCAAGAACAAAGCAATTGAAATTAAGAAAAAATTATTTGGAGAAACACTTAGCCAAATTTGTTGACCGTTTTCTATTTTTTTAATTTTTTTTCAAATTACTTATTTTACGAGAAATGCAATAATTACCGTTAAACTGGAATTGGAGGAAGAACTCATAAAAGTTTCAGTTTTGAAAGAGTGGCCTTAGCATTTGTCTTATTTTACACATTTCACCCTCCCTCCGATTGCCCTGCACCGTCTTTTTCCCGCAATTTCTTCCCCTTTCTGTCCTTCTCCATCTAAATCCGACCAGTATTTACGCCCACCCCCTCCTTTTGCAGACACACAGAAAACAAACCCTTTAAACTTTCAGAATTCAACAAAAGCCCCAAATGGGCAAACGAGGCCGCAAGCCCAAAACCCCCACCCGGGAAACCCTAGATTCACCCGCCACCGCCATCGCATCGCCACCGCCACCGCCGGTTACGACGGCCACAACCGCAGTCGACGACGTATTCTCCGTCAGCAACGTCGAGATTATCGAGCAGCCTCAATCCTCTCAGCCCCAACACGGAGGTCGCCGCCGCGGTCGACCCAAGAAGCTCCAAAAGCTCTCCGACAATCCCGAGGCCATGGCCCCTTCCCGGAGGATCCCTCGGGCGGTCGACAATGGCGACCACAAGGGGGCGGTGGGCCCGTTGGTGACGGTTTCGGATCCTGGTGAGGCGTGGGAGGCCGTGGCGAGGGTGGTGCCCGCCATGGATGCGGTCGTGAAGGTGTTTTGTACGCATACAGAGCCGAATTTCTCGCTGCCATGGCAGAGGAAGAGGCAGTACAGCTCGAGCAGCAGTGGTTTTGTGATTGGTGGGAGGAGGGTGCTGACCAATGCGCACTCTGTGGAGCATTATACGCAGGTCAAGCTCAAGAAGCGTGGCTCTGATACTAAGTACTTGGCTACTGTTCTCGCCATTGGCACCGAGTGCGATATTGGTATTCAAAGCTTTCCTTTTTCTGTTCTTTTGCTTTTTTTGTTATCATTATTTAGTACTACTTAAAATTTCACTGATTTTTCGGAATGTGGATGATTTATTGGGTAGAAAAGCTTCATACTTGCTGCTTAAGGGGTTGTTTAACTTGGTTTTTTAGTGTTTGTTGTGCGTTGTTACGTAGTGAAATTTGCGTGGTGAAGATATAGGAAGTGATTTGTTTTTGGAAGGGAAGGAGAATTTCCATGTTTACCTTAGAAGGTGTTATGGAGTAAAACAGTTAGATATAAGGGATATAGAAAAGCTCAGAATAAATCGCGTAGTAAATGAAGGCATATGGGATGAAAAACTAATGCAACAGATGAATTTCGTATTGCTAATACTTTATGAGATTTCACTGATTCATGATGTTTTTAGGAATGGGGATGATGTATTGGTTAGAAAAGCCTCATACTTTCCGCTTAAGGGATTGTTTAACTTGGGGTTTTTAGTATTTGCTCTTCATTGTTACGTAGTGAAATTTGCGTGGGGGAGATATAGGAAGTGATTTGTTTTTGGAAAGGAAGGAGAATTTCCATGTTTACCTTAGGGGGTGTTATGGAGTAAAACAGTTAGATATAAGGGATATAGAAAAGCTCAAAATAAATTGCGTAGTAAATGAAGGCATAGGGGATGAAAAACTAATGCAACAGATGGATTTCGTTTGTCATGTCAATGTGGGGAAAGGTGTGAATTTATCTCAACATGGATGGAAATGGAGGGATTGCGAGTGAATGTTCATGCTCATTGTGTATCAATTCCCATTAGTTGGATTAATTAAACTAATTATGGAAATCAATTTTTGGTAACCAACTGAGCATATGTAAATATTTTATAATGGAAAACTGCTGTTTATATGATGTTGCAGCCATGCTTACTGTTGACGACAATGAGTTTTGGGAAGGAGTGTCACCAGTGGAGTTTGGGGATTTGCCTGCGCTTCAAGATGCCGTTACAGTTGTGGGTTACCCAATTGGGGGAGACACAATTTCAGTGACGAGTGGTGTTGTGTCACGAATAGAGATTCTGTCCTATGTTCATGGGTCTACTGAACTTCTGGGTTTGCAGGTAATGAGAATGTAATTCTAGCACTTCTGTTGGACATCTAGCTTATCAGCAGAATATTTTTCCTAATGTCATGTTTCTTTCTCTTTGGATTTTTTCCAGATAGATGCGGCCATAAACTCTGGAAACTCAGGTGGGCCTGCTTTTAATGACAAGGGAAATTGCGTCGGTATCGCATTTCAGTCCCTTAAACATGAAGATGCGGAGAATATTGGTTATGTCATACCAACACCAGTCATTATGCACTTCATCCAAGATTATGAAAAGAATGGAGCATATACAGGTAAATTTGTTAAATTTGATGTGTTCTAAGTATTTAAATTTATATAAATCGTCATTGGCATAGGTTGTCTTTCTATGTAATGTAGTTACATCTTTGAGCCAGCGGTACCTAGTATTGTCAGTTCTTCATGTAATGTGAATCTTATGATTGTCTATAATGTAGGATTTCCAATTCTCGGAATTGAGTGGCAGAAGATGGAAAATCCTGATTTGCGTATGGCAATGGGCATGAAACCTGATCAGAAGGGTGTTCGTATAAGAAGAGTTGATCCCACTGCTCCGGAATCTCAGGTTCTGAAGCCATCTGATATCATTCTCAGTTTTGATGGAGTTAAGATTGCCAATGATGGAACAGGCATGTGTACTTCTTATATTCCTGCTATGTACATATGTATTATGGGTATATGTTTATGGCATACGTCTATAATTTGTTTAGCAAATGAAAAACTCGCATTCATAAAAGATTTTGTTGTTCTTACTATTATTTGTTTGTGACATGACCCTTATGCTGGTTCTTATAACACTGTTGATAAGTAGTGAAGTTTCACTAATATAACATGTGGCATGTTTTACTTTGCTGTTTCCCTTTGTTAAATTATTATCGTACTCTATGTGACTTAGCACTTGATGTTTTCCACTATGATTTTCAGTTCCTTTCCGGCATGGAGAACGCATAGGTTTTAGTTACCTTGTCTCTCAGAAATATACTGGAGATAATTCAGCGGTTAAAGTTCTGCGCAATTCTGAGATTCTGAATTTTGACATCAAACTTGCATCCCACAAAAGGCTAATCCCAGCACACAACAAGGGCAGACCTCCTTCATATTATATAATTGCAGGATTTGTTTTTACAGCTGTGTCTGTTCCCTATCTTCGATCTGAGGTTAGTAGCTCACCTTTAATCCCCTCTATGAACTTAAACCTCGTTTTTACATCTGCTTAATGGATGTTAAGGAGTGGGATTTTGATTAATTAGTAGTGCTTGTAACTATTGTGCATCTACAGTGTCTATATGTATGTCTCTGCTCGTGTGTGTAAGTAATACTAAAATGATCTGACACAATGCATTAACATGACATAACTCGATTTCCATCTTTAGATGTTAGCCAGACATGGCTATATGTGCGTGCGCGCCTGCGTGTGTAATTAATATCTTAAAAGTTTATGATAATGCATCTGAAATTAAGATCAAATTATTCGTGCTATCTTAATCCAATTCTTTCTGCTTGTATTTACAGTATGGAAAGGAATATGAATTTGAAGCTCCTGTCAAGCTTTTGGACAAAATGCTGCATTCATTGCCACAATCACCGCATGAGCAGCTCGTCGTCGTTTCGCAGGTGCTTGTGGCTGACATCAACATCGGTTATGAAGAAATAGTTAACACCCAGGTCAGGAATTGCACTCTGATGGATTTTGCTATATTTTTGGATGTCAGCCGCTGAATCACTTCAAATAACCTGTTGTCGGATGACTTACTGTGTATGTTTGTGTAGGTTCTTACTTAAACGGTAAGCCTGTGAAGAACCTTAAGAACTTGGCAAGCATGGTAGAGAGCTGCGAGGACGAATTTTTGAAATTTGATTTAGAATACCAACAGGTTCTCTCCCTCTCTCCGTCTCACCCCCTTCCCCCTCGTACAATTGCATGTGTTTTCTGTCTGTATCATGGCTAATTTCTGTCATATATCCAGGTGGTTGTCCTCCGAACAAAAACTGCTAAAGCAGCTACTCTGGATATTCTTGCTACACATTGCATACCCTCAGCAATGTCCGATGATCTGAAGACTTGACGTTGGACCGAACGCATGCGGATTTTTGTAGCCCCTTCTCTACAAGGTCCCAAATAGCAACGGTGGGACTCTGGAGGAGGGTAGGCATACTGGCTATAGATAACTCAATTGAGTATGTGCAGCTCCCTCGTTGAGATCGTTGTATTTAACCCTTGTTTCAAAGGGCTGGATGTAACCATATGAGGGCATAAAATTGAAGAATCGCCGTCAAATTTTGTTTCTTTTTACGAGTTCCCTATAAATCATGAGGCACATGTTTAACTGCTAGTGCTTTACTCTCTTTATTTCTTGGATTTGAAAGGGGATATTTTGCTTATTGTTTCTTTGCAGAAAGTTTCCTAATAAGAGCTAGCCTGGTAAACCACAAAATTGACCCCCAAATTTAAAAATTCGAAGTTAAATGTGAAATGTATTTGCAAAGAGCTTATAAATAGTTCAATTAGGTAAGAGCGTTTATCAAGCGTTTGAGACTGAGTTCGAGTGGACCCGTCTGATATCGCATTTATAAGTGTACACGTATATATAGGGGTAGGGAATGCAAATCATACATGTGTGTGGGTCTTGAGGAGAGGCGTCGTCTGTTGCCGATCATCAGCCTCATGCGAGTCTTCAAACTTTTCCTCTTTCTTTTGGTCCGGACCATTTTGCTCTTTTGATTGCGCCCATACTACCCCATAGAAACCCACCACAATTACCACTGCCCCAATCACACTGCCATAAAAAATTTATACAATTAAATTAAGAATACAACTATCATGTTTTATCAAGGATAATTATAACCACATACAGTCCTCTTACATACTCATTTTTAGTCCGTTCCTTGTTTATGTTTGATTCATTCAAGGTCTGAATTTCTTCACGACCCGTTAACCCGACATGAAATGAGATGAAAATAACAAGTTTTGGGTCAACCCTAACTAGTTGTTTCGTTACCTGGTCATCCGTTAAGATAATAGATTTAACATGAAAACAACCCGTTTTCCAAATCTAGACAATCATGACCCGCTAACCCGATAAGAAATGAATTCTAGGTCAACCCGTTAACGAGTCGAATCGTTATCGAGTCACCTGTTACGCATCCGTTAATATAACGAGTTTGACACGACACGATACGTTAAGATAACAAATTTATAATTCAGAGACTAAAGTTTCAATTGGATTAAATTTATCCACACCCATTTTTACTCTTACACACCTCTTGTTAATTTTTATCGTTTGATATTTTATAATTTATTCGATCCGAAGGCCGGAAATTGAGGGTATTGTGTGAGAGGTAAAAAAGGGTATGTGGATAGCACCACTCTAAATTTAAGGACTAATGCTCCATTTTTCTCTATTTAGTCCAATACCAAAACTTCCTAAGCAGACACATAAATTCAGATGTGAATTAAGCCAATTGATCAGACAAAAGTGCCTATCCTGTTATTTAAATTGAATTCTCTTCTCCGTAAATTAGAGTTGTTTAGAATATATATCGTTTTGTAAAAGGCAAAAATAGAATGATAAGATAAGGCAGTAACGAGAGCGGTTTGTTACCTTCCAGTATAGAGTGTGTCACCAAGGAAGATGGCACCCATTAAGGCAGCAATGGCAATCCCTAGAGGCTTGAACATAGCCACAAATACAGGTCCTTTCTTTCTTATGCACCATGTTTGAGTAGAGAATGTTACTACACTTCCAAAAACAGCCTGCACACAAAGATCAAATGTTGCAGATTATAATTCGCTCTATTGTTGTTCGGTTAAAAAAAAATGCAACACAAGAGCTCCCCAGGAGGCCTCCCATCCTAATTATGCGCTTACCGAATAGGCGATCGCTGCGAGCTCCAAATCAAGTTTAAGTGCCCAGGCACTTGCATTCCTTTCTACAAAGAAAGAAAGTATTGCACATTGAATGGTCCCAAAGAAGCAATAGAAGGAGACTATGGTCATCTCTGATGGGTACCCCTTAAGAACTGCTGCCTTCAGACACAATGTGAATTACTAACATCAGTGCCATTTCCGAACAAAGTTCATAATCGAAAAGAAGAGTTGCACATCAAATTTTAACCTGAGCGGTGTTCCATATCGAAAGAGATAAGCAAGCTGTTGTGATAAAAAGGGCTCCAGTGACCCAATTACTCAGTGGAAACACATCAGAGACAGATGGGTTTAATTGAGAAGAGTCAACAGTTTTGATTGGAAACAACACGATTGGAGGACCTTTAACGAAAGTGACTATCAATGCTCCTGAGATGGATACCAGAGTGCCCAGAATTTTGATCTGGCTTCTTAAGCTTCTCAAATTTAACTTCTCCATTCTATAAGCAGACACAAAATCTTAAGTTCTCATTACCAACATTCTTCCCTTAATCCCCGAAATTCCCTTTAGGCCTCATTCGGTGTCTGGGATAAGATTTATTGGATAACTCACTAGAGTCAACGTATATTGAAGGAAGAAATGGACGACAACGGCCAAACCTTGCCCCAAGTTGACGGTAGAAGAAGGACATTATTTCGATAAATGGAAACTTATCCCTTCCAATCTTCACAAAAATGGCAGACTGGATGGGATAAGTTTCCTTCGTGACTAACTCGTCTAGTTCTTCACGAAATATTATTCTTCTTCTACTTTAAACTTCGACAAATACTGGGACTCAGACATCAGTGTCTTCCTTTAACAATACATTGAATCTAGTGATTTATCCAATCCATTCCTATGGACACTAAACGAGGCCACCAAAGTAGTTCATTAATCTGGTGTAAGGAAAAGAGAGCAACCTGAAGACGACAGCAAGAAGGAAAGTGAAAGCCGGGATCAAGTTGCTCAAGGCAGATGCAAGAGTGGGGGAGCTGTAGCTTACTCCAGTAAATATACAATTCTGCATCACAGTTATCCTGCCAAGGAAAATAGATTTGATGAAACCCAGCAAACCCAGCTAACCCACATGCTTAATAGTCCTACCCAAGTGGGATTTTTAGATCAAATCACATACCCAGCGAGGCTGAGGAGGAAGAATTTACAGAGGACGGTGAAAGTAAGTGGTGGCCTGTTGTTTCTGCAAATAACAAGAAATTAATCAGAACAATTTGGTGAATTTAGAGAGAGAGAGAGAGAGAGAGAGAGAGAGAGAGAGAGAGCAACCTGTGGATGATGAAAGAAGAAGGGAGGAGGATGAGAGTGGCAAGAGCATTGGAGTAGACAACAAAGACAAAGTGGCTCATTCCTCCGGACATGGCTGCTTTACTAAGTGTGGTTAATCCCACGTCCAGAATCTCCACCACCACCATCGCCGCGAACGGCAGCAACTCCCATATTCTTGACTTCATCCCCATTGATTCTTTCTCTCCACTGAACACTCTCTCTCTCTCCACGGAAATGGCAGTCTTAGAGAGTAGGTGAAATGTGCAAGACAGTAGCTGAAACGTGCAACCCTCTGGTCAAAGCGGAACAATTGCACAAATTAAATAAAGGCAAAATTAGTATCCCTGTTTTTCTATATCATTTGAAAAAATAATTTTAGAATTTATTATTTTATCTGCATGATGTACTTTTTCTTATTTAGTGGAGATATTAATAATTAAACTATATTTTCTCTTCTTCATAAATGTGTTTTTTCGATCATGGTTTTTTTTTTGGTTATGCAAACATTTAATATTATTTCTTTTTCCAAATGGTTTTTTCTTTTTCAAATAGTTGGTGATCAACCTAAAAACTCTGTATAATTTTTTTTATTTTTTTTGTGAACTATTTGAAAAAGAAAAAACCAATTGAAAAAAGAAATAATATTAAATGTTTGCTTAACCAAAAAAAAAAACTGTGATTTAAAAAACATATTTGGAACAAGAGAAAATATAGTTTAATTACTAATAAGGAAAAGTGCATCATGCAGATAAAAGGATAAATTCAAAAATTATTTTAATTTTAAAAAATAGAGGTGATTATTGGTTAAAGTACTTTAATCAAATTTAAAAAAGGCACATATGTTTAATCTAAATGATATAGAAAAACAGTAGATGATTCTAATTTTCCTTTTGCATAAATACTATTTGAACTTTTGTATGTGTGCGCATTTATCACCTACAAATTTTAATATTTATTTGTAGGTATGCGCAACATAATACAAAGTTCATAAGGTAATAAAAAAAATTAAAGGTTCAAGTGGTAAATATGCACACCAATAAAAGTCCAGATAGTATTGGTGCAAAATCCTCTTAAATGTATTACTATTACTACTACTACTACCAAAATTTCGTGAAAAAAAATTGCTTATTGTAAGTGGGTACATGGGGTTATCTTTTTAGAGGCAGTTATATCACGAGAATAATATGCATGGTAAGAGTATGATAAAATTATAACTTTTCACATCAATATTATGATTACATGTATCCGTTTATTTTCATATGACATATATTATTATTAAATAATATTCGATAACAATATACTCGTGGACTTTCCACTTCATAACCCCTAGACTACCTATAAGTAACAATAGAATAGGATTGACACAACAAAATTACAATTTACTTTTGTTGTGTTCACGAACCTTAGTAAAAACAATTACTATTTTAAAATCGTCTACCTAACATAAAATGACGCGGTCAAACATTTAATTACTTTTACGCCTTACGTAACCTGATTAATGAAACTCATAATTAAAATTGACAACGGTGGTACAATCACATCAAAATTAACTTTGGTGCCTAAATGTCGAAAAAATAGGGTTCCCAAAGCTATTCTAAATTTCCAACCATTAAATCAACTAAAATGAAGAAGATCAAATAACAAAAACTAACACCCAAAGAAGTATATTATTTTCTTTGAGTAAAAAGTAAAACACTTTTGTGCTTTGATGGGAGTATATAATAATTTAGAAACGTGGGCCTTATTTGGGCCTAGGCATGAGTTGGGCGGATCTATATGGGTTATCGGTTGTTATCAATCGGGCTCAGCCTCTAACTCCAATAATCCGCGAATCCGACCCACACTTACCGCCACCGACCCGCATCCACCACCACCACTACTTCCAATTCCATTTTCCTCCATTTTCTCTGAGTCTCTGCTTACATGTTCTTCTTCTTCTGGTTTCCAATTTTCGGGTTCGCGATCCCAAATTGATTTGACCATTTTCGGAAATTCGCTCGTTCTGTGTATGGAGAAGATGAGTGAGGTCGACCCCACGTTAGAAGTATTCTACGAGGAGAAGAAGCGGGTCCGGAACCCTTGGGTACCAGTTGGTAACTTCCCACTTCGATTCCTTCACTATTTTGCTACAATTTGGTTTCTGTGATTGTTTTGTTTAAATTTTGAGGTTTGATATGAGTTGGGGTATGCATATTTGATCGTAAAGTTTCGTGCTGGTTTGAATTTTTGGTGGATTTGGATATCTAGAACTAATAATTTGGAAAAGTTTATTAATTTTTGGGATAATAAAATTTTGATGAAAAGGTATTAGTAAAGCTTCTTCGTTGGTTAATTTATTAGGAAAACTAACCAAGTTCAAAAAAACTTTAGTTTTAATGAAAAATAACAAATAAAGGTGCAGTGAATTCTGTAAAAATGTAAAAATGTGGATTTTTGTTAAGAATGAACAGTGTTTAGTTTAATTTCAATCTTCTCGCGTGAATTCTGTCTGTTGTATCCTGTATGTGAATTTGGAGAAGACTTCCGGCATTTTTCTAGGTATCCGGTGCAGTGGCAACGTCTTAGTTTGTCATCGACGGTAATTGGTAAATATTACGTTGTCTTCATTTGACAATGTGGCAACAGTCTTGTCGAGATGCAAGGAAGTTTGTCACTTTGACATGATACCTATCCCTTGCTGTTAGGTCCTGTGTGCTGACCGAGTGAAGGTTAGCTATGAGACTGGCGTTTTTAGTGTAGTCGGAACTGGATGTTCAGTCAGGTGTAGACCATTGTTTCTCATACAAATGAGATTTTATGGGAAATTTTAAGAGAATCCGAAAGGGGTGCCATTGAGAGATGCTACTTAGTTTGCGGGATTGAAGACACTGAGGTCCTCGAAATCTGTGGTAATAGAGATGAATTAGAGCTGTGTGTATGCTGGATTTTATGGTGTGGGTAAAAGACTGAGGTGCATTGGGATCTTAGGCTTTGGAGAAACCTTTCAGCTTGGGAAGACGACGATGAGTTATAGTTAGGAAGTCCGTTTCAAAGTGTGTTCTTAAGTTTCAGAGCTTTATGGATCGTCTTGTGTTTCCAGTTTTCCCATGAACTTGATATAAAAAGAGAGAAAAATGTTCTCTTTTGTGTAGGGTTTCAAGCAACAAACGAGTAATTGCGACATTTTGATAATTGAATGATGCCAAATTCGTGTTAAAGCTGTGATCTGCTTTGCTTTTATTAGTTAAAATGAGATTCATTTTGGTTAATTACTAAGAACTAAACTTTTCAGGGGCTATGTTGACTGCTGGCGTGCTCACCGCCGGCTTAATCAGTTTCAGGCAAGGCAATTCTCAGTTGGGGCAGAAGCTAATGAGAGCTCGTGTCGTTGTCCAGGGTGCCACAGTGGCTCTTATGGTTGGCAGTGCATACTACTACGGGGAGAATCCGTGGAAAAAATCGAGTTAAATCGTTTTCTTCTATTATTTTCGTTCATGATTACGGTTACATTGTTGTTTCATTCATGTTGAAGCCAAATTAGGTTTACGTGAGTTGCATAGCTTGCGCTAAATAAGTAACACACGTATTGCTGTTAGTACTAAATGATATCAATGATTTAATCACGGCTCGTTTGTCACGCCAGTGGTGTAGGCATGTAGCCCTGTTTGGGTTTCCGTCTATGATTCGTTTTCAACCTTAAAGGGTAAGAGGAGAGGCGAGAAGAGGATTCGAAACTATTATATTAATGTAGTGGAAGGGAGAGTTCGAACACGAGACACGAGTTGAAACTTCACATCTTATCCATCAGGATATTGAACACATGCATTGGATGCTTGATGTAAACTTGAGGATGTGAAAACTTTTGGCAATTGCATTTTTTGCCTTCCTTCTTCAAACAGGGACCATCTGGTGGTTTTGCCATAGCAAATTACCCAAATTACCCTTTAGATGGTCGAGAAGATTTATATAAGCATTTCAACCTCCTTGGCCACATCATGTGATTAATTAGCGCCAAGAATTGAATCAAGATGTGCCTTATGGAATACGAGTCTGGAACTCGTTCATAGCCATTAGGCCACCCTTTGGTGATTAAAGTAAAATCAGTGGCGGATCTAGGAAATAATATTAAGGGGGTCAGTACGAATGGTGTGTGCAGTGCGTGATTTTTTTCTTAATAGAAATAACATGCATATCGTCATTTCATCGAGTATTAGTAGGCCTGAAGTCATTTGGAAAGGCATACTGCACACCTGTTAATGCCTCATTTGCGTGGGTAACTAACATGTTCCAAGGCTGCTTCCATGTAAATGCTTAACAAAGAAACACAATTACCTTGAAGACACTAACAATGTTTGATATCATTGCATCCCATTAATATGTTTGTCCAAGAATGATGACGCTTTGTTATTCTTTGAGATCACATTTCATTTACTTTGCATTTTTGGATAGTTTTTTACTTGTTTCTTTTTTTTTCTGCCTACAATTGTAATCACAACCAACAAACAAGCCAGAAGTAAATAATATTAGGAATAGACTGTAAAGGGGCAAAACCTCTCTAATGCATTTTATCAAGCAGTTGAAAGACATGTATGAAGGGCAACTCCAACCTTTAAAGGGGCAACACCCAAGTCATTCATGGACATTCATCGAAGTTCGGAGGGTCAGCACTCAAGTTATTTGTGGACATTCACTCAAGTTCGGGGGGGGGGGGTTAGCTGACCCCCTACCCCTCAATGCATTCGCCTCTTAGTAAAACCAATAATTGGTTTCATTCAATTATTTGATTTAACTATGGAGTTATTTAAAAAAAAAAAAATCGAAATGCACATCCCACTATTTTAACAAATTAAAATATTTTCAACAAAATAAAACAAATTACAAAAATTTCAACAAAAATTAATAATAGTTTTGCCAAAAATTAATAATAGTAACATAGAGAATTAGTGATTAAAACGTTCCATATAAATAAATAACAACAATAATATACCATAATTAGTTTTTGGGTTTACCATTATAATTGGTGATTAAATTTTACTCCGTAATTATCAATCAAATTTATATTTGCAACCACCAAATAAAATTTTAATTTGAGACCACCTCAAGTCTTGTTTATGGTTAGGAGAGGCTGAAATGCTTCTGTGAGTCTTCTTCTGATTTCCGAAAGGAATGAATAACTGTAGTTTGTCACTAGTTATCCTTTTTTTTTAACAAAAAAGAAAAAAGAAAAAAAATAGTCTTGCTTGCCACGTAATAACACTATCATTTGAACACGTGCGTGTCGACATTTGCCCCACCTCCAACTCTCTCTCCCTCTCTCAC